TTTTTTTTTTGTTTGTTTTTTGAGGCTGGAGCGCAGTAGCACGATGTTAGCTCACTGCAACCTCCGCCTCCTGGGTTCAAGTGATTCTCATGCCTCAGCCTCCTGAATAGCTGCGATTACAGGCACATGCCACCACACCTGGCTAATTTTTGTATTTTTAGTAGAGACAGGATTTCCCCATGTTGGCCAGGCTGGTCTTGGACTCCTGGCCTCAAGCGGGTGATCCACCCGCCCTAGCCTCCCAAAGTGCTGAGATAACAGGAGTGAGCCACAGTGCCCTGCCATTATTTTATTTATTTATTTATTTTTTTTGAGACAGAGCCTCACTCTGTTGCCCAGGTTAGAATGCACTGGGATGATCTCTGCTCTTGGCACCCTCAGCCTCCTGAGTTAAAGTGATCCTTGTGCCTCAGCCTCTGAGAAGCTAGGATTACAGGAACGTGCCACCATGCCTAGATAATTTTTGTATTTTTAGTAGAAATGGAGTTTCGCCATGTTGACCAGGTTAGTCTCGAACTTCTGACCTCAGGTGATCTACCCGCCTCGCTCTCCCAAAATGCTGGGATTACAGGTGTGAGCCACTGCACCCAGGCCCTAATTTTATTTTTTGTAGACATGAGGTCTTGCTATGTTGCCCAGAATGGTCTCAAACTCCTGGGCTCAAGCAATCCTCCCACCTTGGCCTCCCAAATTGTTGGGATTACAGGACCGAGTCACTGTGTCTTGCCTTCTAATTTCTTTTTGTTTGTTGGTTTGTTTTTTGAGACAGTCTCGCTTTGTCTCCCAGACTGGAGTGCAGTGGCACAGTCTTGGCTCACTGCAACCACTGCCTCCTAGGTTCAAGTGATTCTCCTGCCTCAGCCTCTTGAGTAGCTGCAATTACAGACTTGTGCCACCACGCACAGCAAATTTTGTATTTTGTTTGTTTGAGATGGAGTTTCGCTCTTGTTGCCTAGGCTGGAATGCAGTGGTGCGATCTTGGCTCCCTGCAACCTGCACCTCCTAGGTTCAAGTGATTGTCCTGCCTCAGCCTCCTGAGTAGCTGGGATTACAGACATATGCCACCATGCTTGGCTAATTCTTTTTTTTTTTTTTTGAGACGAAATCTCGCTCTGTCGCCCAGGCTGGAGTGCAGTGGCGGGATCACGGCTTACTGCAATCTCCTTCTCCTGGATTCATGCCATTCTCCTGCCTCGGCCTCCCAAGTAGCTGGGACTACAGGCGCCCGCCACCATGCCTGGCTAATATTTTACATTTTTAGTAGAGACGGGGTTTCACTGTGTTAGCCAGGATGGTCTCAATCTCCTGACATTGTGATCTGCTCACCTCAATTTTGTATTTTTAGTAGAGATGGGGTTTCGCCATGTTGTCCAGGCTGGTCTTGAACTCCTGACCTCAGGTGATCTGCCTGCCTTGGCCTCCCAAAGTGCTAGGATTACAGGCCTGAGCCACTGTGCCCCACCTAGTTTTGTATTTTTAGTAGAGATGGGGTTTTACCATGTTGGCCAGGCTGGTCTCAAACTCCTGACCTCAGGTGACCCGCCCACCTTGGCCTCCCAAAGTGCTAGGATTACAGGCCTGAGCCACTGTGCCCCACCTAGTTTTGTATTTTTAGTAGAGATGGGGTTTTACCATGTTGGCCAGGTTGGTCTTGAACTCCTGACCTCAGGTGATCCGCCCGCCTCAGCCACCCAAAGTGCTGCGATCACATGCGTGAATCACCGAGCCCGGCCGTAATTTCTTGAGTACAGCATCTTCTCTTATCTGGGGATATTCCAGTTCCTGGAAATTTTCTGATTGAGAGTTGCTTTATGTTTGGAGCTACCTTTCACAATCAAAGTTTTCCTCAAATTTCTAGTGGTACTTTCCCATCCCTATGTAAAAGTGAAGCACTAAAAACCTGTCTGGAAGATTTGTGCACATTGGCAGGCCATTGACTGGCTGTAGAGGGAATGGTGGCCAGTTGGCGTTTTTGGTGGGTGCTCTTAAACGTCAGTAACTGTTGTCTCTCAAGAGTCACTTAGTTTTACCACAGAAGGATCCTCCAACATCCTGCCTGGTGGGCATGTCTGGCTTTTAGCATTCTAGAGCTCAACAAGGATAAATAGCAAAGGATCTCATTTATCCAGTATACAAAATTGTGCTTAATCTCTATTTTCTGAACACCATCACCTAGTAAAGAAGTTTGTTTTTTCCTTTTTAAAGTTGAATTTACTCTCTCAGTAACTTCACCCTCCAACTTTAGGAGCCATAGTGTAATTAATTACTGGTCAATCTTGGGAATATCTCATCTCTGAAGCTAGTGCTGCAAACAGCCATTTGACTGAGCAGACATTTCAAATAACTGTAAGACACTTAAGAAATGCTACCATTGGCCGGGCGCGGTGGCTCAAGCCTGTAATCCCAGCACTTTGGGAGGCCGAGACGGGCAGATCACGGAGGTCAGGAAGATCGAGGACCCACACCTGGCTAACATGGTGAACAACCCGTCTCTACTAAGACAATCACACAAACAACTAGACGACGAGGCCGAGGCTGGCGGGCCGCCTGTAGTCCCAGCTTACCGTCGGGCGAGGCTGAGTGCCGGAGAATGGCGTGAACCCGGGAGGCGAGGCTTGCAGTGAGCTGAGATACCGGCCACTGCACTCCGGCTGGCTACAGAACGCGAGACTCCCGTTCAAAAAAAAAAAAAAAAAAAAAAAAAAAAACGAATGCTACTAGACGCCATGGCGGGCCGGGTGGGCTCAACGCCTGTAATCCCAAGCAGCCTCTTCGCGCGACGCGCGAGACGCGGCGGATCACATGGATCAAGCGTCACAAGGACTCAAGACGCATCGCTGGCTAACCACGCGTGAAACCCCCATCTCCTACCTAAAAAAAAATATAATAAAACAAAACTAGACGGGCGAGGTGGCGGCGCCTGTGGTCCAGCACGTCGGGGACTGAGGCCGGAGAATGGCTGAACCCCGAAGGCGAGGCGGAGCTTTGGCAGTGAGGGCTGAGGTCCGGCGCACTGCACTCCAGCCTGGGCGACAGAGCGAGACTCTGTCCCAAGAAAAAAAAAAAAAAAAAGAAATGCTACCATTGACTGGGCGCTGTGGCTCACTCCTGTAATCCCAGCACTTTAGGAGGCTGAGGCAGGGGGAATCACCTGAGGTCAGGAGTTTGAGACCAGCCTATCCAACATGGCAAAACCCTATCTCTACTAAAAATACAAAAATTCGGCTGGGTAAGGTGGCACATACCTGTAGTCCTAGCTACTCAGGAGGCTGAGGCAAGACAATCACTTGAACCCAGGAGGCAGAGGCTGCAGTGAGCTGAGATTGTGCCACCACACTCCAGCCTGGGCAACAGAGAAATACTTCGTCTCAAAAAAAAAAAAAGGGGGGGGTTTATACAAGAAAAATAAAGTGAATTAATCCTGTTTTTAAAAAAAAAAAAAAAAAAAAATAATCCTGTTTTTAAAAAAAAAAAAAAAAAAAAAAAGCTGGGCACAGTGGCTCACACCTGTAATCCCAGCACTTTGGGAGGTCAAGGCGGGTGGATCACCTGAGGTCAGGAGTTCGAGACCAGCCTGGCCAATATGGTGAAACCCCGTGTCTGCTAAAATTACAAAAATTAACCAGGCATGGTGGCAGGCGCCTGTAATCCCAGCTACTCAGGAGGCTGAGGCAAGATAATGTCTTGAACCCAGGAGGTGGAGGTTGCAGTGAGCCGAGATTGCGCCATTGCACTCCAGCCTAGGGGACGAGAGTGAGACATCATCTCAAAAAAAAAAAAAAAGAGTTAAAAAAATCCCGCTACCATTGACACCTGTTGTTTTCCTGTTTGGCTAATACCTTAATTCATATTCTTATTCATATGAATTAATTCATACGAATTAAGGTCTCCAAATGAAGGTAGAAAAACCTATTCAATTGAGACACACACATTTTATTAAGGCTCTTAAATTGAAACTCATCATTTTGGATGTACATTCAAATTCTAAACAACAGTCACAATGCAGTGACTGTAATAAAATACAATAACCTCCTATAAAGAAACAATTGGGGACTATCATTTTTGTGATTTAATAACACAGTGAAAATCCAGGAAGAATGAATTGAGTTCCTTCTAGGAGTTGTTTATCCCTATTCATGCTTAAGATTGATGATTTCGCTGGGCGCAGTGGCTCCGGCCTGTAATCCCAGCACTTCGGGAGGCTGAGATGGGCGGATCACGAGGTCAGGAGATTGAGACCATCCTGGCTAACACAGTGAAACCCCGTCTCTACTGAAAATGCAAAAAATTAGCCGGGCGTGGTGGTGGACGCCTGTAGTCCCAGGTACTCCAGAGGCTGAGGCAGGAGAATGGTGTGAACCTGGGAGGCGGAGCTTGCAGTGAGCCAACATGGCACCACTGCACTCCAGCCTGGGCGACAAAGTGAGACTCCATCTCAAAACAAAAAACAAAAAACAAAAAACAAAAAAGATTTCGTGAAATAAAGAACATTATTTAAGAGAGAAAAAAAGATTTGTTTTTTTTTTTAAAAGAAATCATCACTCTCATTTGAAAGGTTTGCTTTCTTATTTCCTATAAGTACATTTTGTTTTTCTAATTCAACTGTAACCTCAGGACCACTGTACAGCACTTAGTAAACCTGTCTTTGTACATGGACTCTAGTTCTTACCAACTGCCTTCTCAAATGGAATAGAACTATAACACACAAATAAAAGGAAGATGAGCAAGCACAAGGACAAACAGGAGGAAAATAAAGACTAGAATGTGAATCTCATTTTCAACAAATATCAGCAAGGAAAATGAGACCCTGGTTTCATAATTCATTAAATCTGCAGAATGTCAATTCCGTTTGGTGTTAAACAGTAACCCAATGTAAACCACTGATTCTGGAATAAGACTTAAAAAAAATTAACAAATACCTGAGTGAATATAACAATATGGCTAGACCAAAATGAAAAAAAATCTCACACACAATAATCACTGCAAGAAGATCCCACAGGTTATAGAAAACATAAAGGAACTTTAATATCCAAACATTCAGGGTAAAGAATACTGGATTAATGACCCATTAAGTGTGAATCACTTCAGGTTCTTTACAGTACCAGAAAGTAAAATCTAAATTTTGCATATTGCAGAGAATGAAACCATTTTAAAAACTTTTAATTTCCTTACCTGATACTAATACCAGTATGATTTTTAGACTGAAAAACTAAGAGTAAGATTTAAACCAAAGATAGATGGGTGTTCCTGAAATGTGAATTTGTTCAGTAGTAACCTTTTCATCGCGAGTACTGATACCACTTTCTTCTCAAAAAGTAGTCAATGTACATTTTAAGATTTGTGCAATAAGCCAATATGCTGGCTAATAAAAACTGTTGTTACTGGAGATAGTCAAAATGAAAGAAAACTATTTAAATTATTTATGCCCAAATAATTTACCCTGCAGTCCATGAGATGTACAGGAAATAATTTTTTTTTAATAAGAGAAAAATGAGGGTCCTAAAATAGAAACATAAGCCAGAAGAAATCTAAAAATAGCTTCCTGATATTTTATTTTTTTAAATATTTCATTTAAGCTGCTTTTGGTTGCATGCCCTGATCTGTAGAAGTTAATAAGGAAATAAAATTTCCAAGTATTTAAAAAATTTACTCATCTTCCATAAAGCGACTTTTAATGTATCAACACTTAAAAATACACAGTGACTTAATGAAATAGCACAACTGCATAGAATTGAGCTCCAGAGAATTACACACTTGAGCTATCTTTCCTGGACTCTGGTTTACAAGCGTATTGGCTTAGAGACCAGCTTGGAGTCATTTGCCCCTACCTGGAAAATGCAGGCCAGGAAACTTAAGATTTTGCAGGCCTTTTCTGTTTCTAGGTAAAATGCAGGGAGCTCTCTGAAGGTCTTGAAAACCACTAACCATTCAAATATATATACTGGGACCTTTCCTCTCTGAGTCAAGGAAGAAGGAGGTTTGTGACCTTCACCAAAAACAAAATGAAACTTCCCACACAAGTTTTCTAAGAGACTCTGAAATACAATAGAAATTTCAAAACTAGAACAATGCCATCAAAGATTAAACCTCTTAATGCTTGGAGCCACTCCAAAATAATAAAATTGGGAACTCCAGGAAAACAGGTACCAAAAGAATCAAAATAATGATTGCACTGAGGATTCTTATTTGAAGGCTGTTTAAAGAGGTAGGATTTTAAGTGTTTTTTTTTTGTTTGTTTATCTTTTGGCCTCTGAACATTTAAAAAATGCTTTGCCCAGCTGGTCCTTCAGGCAAAATTTGGAGGTCACAATGAACTCCAAGCCTGACACATAGATATTCTACAGTTTCACAGCTATCATTTGTACATGTTAAGTTGATTCACTCTTTTTGAGCAAATCTACCTATAAAACGGCAAATATATTCCTTTACATACAACTTTGTGTCTCAAAATTCTTGAAAAACAAGAGCAGATGACTTTGTATTCAAAGACTACCAAAGTATGTATTTGATTTTCACATGCAAACAACTTAAAACCTTATAAATTTCATGTAAACTCTGCATGATACCTTGAAGGAAATGACATACAAAGTTTGCTAACTGTGCAAAATATTAAATTGCTAAAACATTTTACATAATGAAATAATACATGTAAATGTTGAAGTTGACACATGAAATTAACATGGCATAAGAACTTATCACATTTCAGATATTTTCTTTAGTAACAAGTTTTTGTTTTTATAGTTCCTGGTACACAGCAAAGTTTATCACAGAAGATAAAAATTCTTTTAAACAAATCCAACAGGGAATTCTTGAGGCACCTTCTCATATAAAACACAAGATGAATGCAATTATCAATCCATCTGAGAAAAGTTTTCAATCTAAATGAACATCATTTTTTCCATTTAAGTATATTTTACAGAACTTTAATAAGGCAAGACAAATTTGTGAAAAAAGATGTAGATACAAAAATGACATAAACTAATAATTTATATTAAAAAACCACAAAGGGATAACAGTGGAGATGGGACAGCTCAAACAATGCCTTTTTTTTTAAACCTAAAACAGAATTGTGCACAAGCTGAAGATGACAGAGAACTTCTAGACTCTGCACAGTTTTTTTTTTAACATCTTTATATTACATGTTTTAAATCATATCAGGAATGCAAACTATAACTGCACACTACTTTAGTGGAAAAAAGTTCAATATTGTGCAATTTTCTGCCTCTTAATAGTTAAAAAGTGGCAGCAATCCCTGCATTTGTGTTTGAAACAAGGATCTGAGAAACTTTATCAAAAAAGGTAATGAAGGCAAAAATTGGCAGACATCCAGCATCTTGTTTCTTTTTAAAACAATGTGGATGATAAGTAATTTCATGATTAAAAATGAATCTTTTAAATAAATACATTGTATCTGACATTTGCACTGACTGATTTGATAAATCTTTAAGTAAACAACGGCTTTACTACACTCCCTGTAGCCTCAAGCCACTGGCTTTAGATTCTGGAGTCCTTTTTCACTGGGTTTCATACCCTGCCACTCGATACCCAGAAGGCTGACTGGGCAACATGCTGCCATTTTGCCCTTGAGGCGGTTGCACTCCATAATTTGGTCCCATCCATGGTGCAGAAGACTGTGTCTGACTGGTGGAGAATGTGAAAGAAGCAGAGGGGAGAGGAAATCCACTGATTAAAATAAAGTATTGGCAAGAACAAATAACAAATATGGGAAATGAGAAACATACTTTTTCTTAAACCCAAATAGAATAACTTACGCCAGGGAAAACGAAAGCTTCTACTAAAGTTTTTTTTCTCTTAAAAACAAGCATCCCTGTATGTTTTTTTGGACAGTTTACTTTTGTTAGAAATTAAAGCTAAGAAAATACCCTGAACTTATCAACATTCATCTCCCCTGAACACAGAAAAACTTAACCCCATTCTCGGAAAAGAAAACTGTCCATCTCATCTCTGTATCTTGGTTGAACATATTTGCTGAGGAAGCCACTACCTGAGTCAGGTAGGTTCCCCACAATGAAAAAAGAGCTAATATTATACTACTCAAAGAAGAAATCAAAACAATTATTAACAAATATAAGCTCATAAAAATTCATAACATTACAAGATTTTTTCTTTTTTTTTCTTTTTCGAAACAGGTTTTCATTCTGTCACCCAGGCTGGAGTACAGTGATATGATCTCAGCTCACTGCAACCTATATCTCCCCAGGCTCAAGCGATTCTCCCACCTCAGTCTCCTGAACAGCTGGGATTACAGGCACGCACCACCATGCCTGGCTAATTTTTTTTTGTACTTTTTGTAGAGACGAGATTTCGCCATGTTGCCCAGGCTGATCTTAAACTCCTGGACTCAATCCACCTGCCCTGGCCTTCCAAAGTGCTAGGATTACAGGCATGAGCCACCGTGCCCAACCACAAAATTCCCACCACAAAATTCTTTTTTTTTTTTTTTTTTTGAGACGGAGTCTCGCTCTGTCGCCCAGGCTGGAGTGCAGTGGCCGGATCTCAGCTCACTGCAAGCTCCGCCTCCCGGGTTTACGCCATTCTCCTGCCTCAGCCTCCCGAGTAGCTGGGACTACAGGCGCCCGCCACCTCGCCCGGCTAAGTTTTTGTATTTTTTAGTAGAGACGGGGTTTCACCGTGTCAGCCAGGATGGTCTCGATCTCCTGACCTCGTGATCCGCCCATCTCGGCCTCCCAAAGTGCTGGGATTACAGGCTTGAGCCACCGCGCCCGGCCGACAAAATTCTTTTTTTTTGGAGACAGAGTCTTGCTCTGTTGCCCAGGCTGGAGTGCAGTGGCATGGTCTCAGCTCACTGCAACCTCCACCTCCCAGGTTGAAGTGATTCTCCTACCTCAGCCTCCCAAATAGCTGGAACCTATTGGTAGTGTGCACCACTACACCTGGCTAATTTTTGTATTTTTAGCAGAGGTGGGGTTTCACCATGCTGGCCAGGCTGGTCTCAAACTCCTAGCCTCAAGTGATCTGCCTACTTCAGCCTCCCAAAATGCTGGAATTGCAGGCATGAACCACCACGCCCGGCCCACTACATTCCTTTTTAACCTCCCAGGTATTTTTATTTTCAGTGTGTTTTTCAGAAATGTAAGTAAAATAATGTAATTTAGGGTGTATAAGGAAGCTTGCAATATAACAATGCATGAAAAAACCCTTTGCACAGAAAAAAGCATAATGAATACAACAACTAGCATCAAAGTCAGTGTATATAAGAATGACTAAGTGACCATTAGTCAGTGAAAACCTTAACAACTATTAAGCTCTTATTTTCTTACTAAAAAACAATTAAGTTCTTTGAAGGCTATAGTTACGCTTTATGTAAGAGGCCCTATTATCCACTAATTCTTAAAATTTCTTCCTACTTAAAATATTTTTAGACATTTTCAAAGGTTAGTAAAGGAAGAGATCAGATATGCTTACTTAAATCCTTGCTGGTTCCATGCCTGGCCATACATTCCATATGCAGGAACTTGCCAACCATTAGGCATATACTGGCCAATTTGTTGTGCATTTCCATACCACTGACCCCACTGGCCATAAGGTTGTGGATATCCAATTTGATTCTGCTATTAAATAAAATTTAGTATTACTTGAAGTTAACTGTAAATATACAATCCTAATATGTTGATACCACAAATTCTTAGCAAAAACACACAGGGCCATCATTACAATTAAAATGACAGGATAAACAAGAGTTGACGGCTAAAAAACAAAACAAAAAACAAAACAAAAAAAACTGAGGTTATACTGCTGTAACTCTACATGATACTCTGAATGGCATAGTTTTTGGAAGGCATCAGTTGATATCCTAGTAATAAATGTTAAACATAGTAGAATGTTTAAGTGTTTGGTATACTATCCACATGATTGTTTCCTTTAGATAGGGAAGATGTGATTAGTTATTTCTATATTCAGCTTACTTAAGAAACTTATATAGTTTAGGATTTGCTTACTCCCATCTCTGTGCTCCATTTAGTTTCCTCATAGAAATCTTTGTGGAATCAAGTCTGTACCACTAAAGCTGCCTGGAAAAAAAAAAAAGGCAGCAAAATCCGGAAGAAAAATGCCAAGGCCCTAACTATATTTACAGCTTTATTTTTGTTTCAGTTGAGTCAAGCATGCTTGTGAGTTCTCCAAATAGTATGTGAATAAATCTACCAAGTATTAAAAAAAGATTTAATACCCTTTTAGGTTTCTCGGAGCATTTTAAAATCCACTGTATGAGCATGAGTCAACTGAGGCGGTCACATTCATCATGTCACCACTGCAATCCATGAAACACCATTCTGGAACTATAATACATGTAGGAAGAGCCCTTATATACTATCATTTTAGCTAGAAACTTATTAACAAGGATTATCAACAATCTTCACTTTAAAATAACATTATTAGCCCAACAATTACTTCTCAAAGTTAAGAACCCTCTCACCTGTTGCACGGGATTAATCATATCAAGAGTTTCTTTGCCCCAATAGCATTTCACAACATGACCTTCAATGGTAGTACCATTAACAGAAACAATTGCATGTGCTGCACTTTCATGGGAATTGAACCTATTGAAAACAATATTAAGAATCACCAATACAAATTCTTTTAAATATTTATGAATAAAACCAATTTTTAAAAATCAAGGTGAGTCTGAGGTAAAAGTTTGCATAACATGGTGTATTTTCTTTGCTATTTTTTTCAAAGATCTTGTAGTTCTGGGGAAACTTGTGTTAATTGAGAATGTGTGTTTCACTGGCCTTGTGTTAGGGAGGGGGCTATAAAATCACAGAGGCAAATATGCTAGATGCTAGAGAAATTTCAATTTTTCTTTTTTTTTTCTGAGATGGAGTCTGGCTCTGTTGCCCATGCTGGAGTGCAGTGATTGTGATCTCGGCTCACTGCAACCTCCACCTCCTGGGTTCAAATGATTCTCCTGCCTCAGCCTTCCGAGTAGCTGTGATTACAGGCATGTGCCACCACGCCCGGTTAATTTTTGTATTTCTGTATTTTTAGTAGAGAAGGGGTTTCACTATGTTGGCCAGGCTGGTCTCAAACACATGACGGTGATCCACCCGTCTCGGCCTCCCAAAGTGCTGGGAATACAGGCATGAGCCACCGCACCTGGCCGAAATTTCAACTTCTTTATAACCAAGGTAAATTTTTAAGAAAACAAGGTAAATATCCAAAAAATATTTCAGAGGAAAAAGTTTATTTTTTATTTTTATTTATTTTCTGGTTTTCCAGTTACATTACCAAGAAAAAAGTTTTTTTTAAAAAACCATCCCTACCGAACAAACGAATATCCTTTATCTGGAAAGACTCGAATTTCCATTATTTGTCCAAATGGTGAAAAAGTCTGACGCATTAGTTGTTCTGTTAGACAAAAAAAAAACAAAAATCACACTAAGTTATATAAAAATTCTACAAATATTAAGCTTTGCACTTTAAAAATTAATGCCACCCAGGGAAGGCTCCCATACCTGTTAGCCCAGAAGTAACACCTCCACAGTATACAGTACAGTTGCTTGGACTAGACTGATTTACAACCTCATCATATGATAGCTGTTTGGTATTTGCTGGTGAGAGAAAAGGTTTATGTCTTTAATTCATTAAATAAAATGTACAGAAAGAGAAAAGCAATATTCACTACACTACTGTAAAGGTAACATTAACCTTGATCAAAATGCTTATATTATACGTATTATACTTCAGTTCAGGATTAAACCTCCCCCACGAATGTCTAAAAAATTACTCAGTATTTTCTACTTAATAGGAGACTTGACATTAGAAATAATATCATTTATAATTACAAAAATGAAAACTAAGTACATTTTTGAACAGTAGTCTTGATTTGCTTCTCATCTATTTCTGCAACAAGTCTCCGGGAACAGCTCTAACATTAAAATCTAGTGTATTTTTCTCCAAAATTCCACATTTCCTTTTCTTCTCCAATACACCTACACTCATATGTACTCTTTGGAGCGGGAGGCTTTCGGGTTGCCCAGTTAGTTCTGATTTGTCTTCCACCAAGCCACTGGCCACCCATCTGTTGAATGGCGTTTTCAGCATCCTGTTCCGCACATTAGAAACAATAAAGAAGTCACTATTAGTTGATGTTAAACAACTTTTAGCAGTAGAGAAAACTTGGTGCTTTTCACAAATGTTTAAGTGAAAATGCTTTACAAAATACACAATATATGATAGCTTTCCTAAAATGCAGTGGTGTTTTTCATATTTTTAAATTATTTATTTTATTTACTTTTTGAGATGGAGTCTCACTCTCTCACCCAGGCTGATCTTGGCTCACTGCAACCTCTGCCAACTGGGTTCAAGTGATTCTCCTGCCTCAGCCTCCTGAGTAGCTGGGATTACAGGCATCCGCCACCATGCCTGGCTAATTTTTGTATTTGTAGTAGAGATGGGGTTTTGCCATATTGGCCAGGCTGGTCTTGAACTTCTTCTTTTTTTTTTTTTTTAAAGTCTCGCTCTGTAGCCCAGGCTGGAGGGCAGTGGTACAATCTCGGCTCACTGCAAGCTTCGCCTCCCGGGTTCATGCCATTCTCCTGTCTCAGTCTCCCAAGTAGCTGGGACTACAGGCGCCCGCCACCATGCCCAGCTAATTTTTTGTATTTTTAGTAGAGATGGGGTTTCACCGTGTTAGCCAGGATGGTCTCAATCTCCTGACCTCGTGATCCTCCCACCTTGGCCTCCCAAAGTGCTGGGATTACAGGAGTGAGCCACTGCGCCCGGCCCTGGTCTCGAACTTCTGATTGCAAGTGATCCGTCCACCTCAGCTTCCCAAAGTGCTAGGATTACAGGCATAAGCCAGCATGCTCAACCCAATGGTGCTTTTACTCCTCTCTTATTTGAATATTAAACTGTGGGAACGTTAATCATCTGAAAAGGTCCTGAGTCCAAAAGCCCTAATGAGGTAGATATCATAAAGTTCATGTAACTCAGATTATTATAGAAGAAAATCTTACTTTAAACAATCTAACAAGCTTGTTAACAATATTTGGTTTCTCATTCATCCAACAAATAAATATTGAACAGTTATGTTCCAGGCACACAGTTAAGAGCTAGGGACACACTGGTAAACAAGCATATATGGTCTCTTACATTCTTTTGTGGGGAACAAATAAAGCAATTACAAATTGTGGTAAGACCTATGACAGAAACAAAAGGCTGAGATACGAGAATATGGGCACAAGGATCTACTACAGACAGGATAAATAGGAAAGGTCTTTCTGAAATGACATTTAAATTGAGCCTGAGAGCAATAGGAGATAGCCAAGTCAAAACAATGGAGAAGAAAGCCCCAGTGGAGAGAAAACTATTGCAAAGTGTGTTAAGGCTCGAGGAGTTTGGTATGCATCTGAAAGAAGCATGTGAAAGACTAGCTTCAGTGGAATCTAGTGAGCAAAACAGAATGTCAGAGAATGAAACTGAAAGATTTTAAGCAAGGAATCATCATGACCTATGTTTTAAGAAGGCCACTCTTAGTGCTAAGAGGAGAATGGCTTCGGGTAATGGGTAGTAAGGGGATAAAGATACTTTATGAAACTTGTGCAATATTCTAGATTTTTAAAAAGTGTTGGTGGCCAGCAGCATTGCAGTAACAGTGAATGTAACCTAAACTCAGGGCCAAAATAATGGGGGCTGGAGGGGACGCCACAAGCAAAAGGAGAGAAATCGAAGATAACTCTTAGGTTCCTCTAGAGAAATTGGAAAGACAGCATTTATTGAAATGGGGAGAAAGACTAGTAAAGAAAAGGGGAGCAGGTCTGAGGAAGAATCAAAAAGCTCCATTAAGAAAAAACTTTGAGATGCCTGTGAGACATATAAATGAAGACCATTTGTTAGTAAGTGTGGAACATAGAGAAGTAGACTGAAGACACAAAATTCATGCAGACTAGAGAAAGAGCCTAGGATAGAGCCCTTAAAAACAGCAAAACTTGAAAAATGGGTAAAGGAATAATCACTAGCTAAGGTGACTAGGGAGGAGTAGCCAGTGATGAAGGAAGAAGCCACAAACGTGTATGGTCAAGGGAGCCAAGAAAACAGAGGTTAAGAGGTGACCTTGAAAATACAGTAGCATTGGTAGAAAGTGAGAGTGAAACCAGCTTAGAGTAGACTAAAAAGTAAATGGGGTATAACTTTTGTGTGCACACATCAAAGGTAAGTTTAACCTACTACCGAAGGAACAGGCAAATTCAAGGCCTTTCTTGAGATACAAAAAGGAAACTCTTTAAAAAAAAAATTAAACAGGGTCTTATTCTGTCATCCAGGCATGATCATAGCTTATTGTAGCCTTGAACTCCTTGGGCTCAAGTGATACTCCCACCTTAGCCTCCTAGTAGCTAGGACTATAAGCATGCACTGACACAGCTGGCTTTTTTTTTAACTATGGTAAGAACGGCCTTTACTGGTTGCAACAGGCAATGGGAGGGGATTCGGTGTCCACATACTAGGTTACCAAGCATTTTTTTAAGAAAAATTTAATGGAGACAGGGTATTGCTATGTTGTCCAGGCTGGTTGGTCTCTAACTCCTGGGATCAAGCAGTCCTCCTGCCTTGGCCTCCCAAAGTTCTGTTATTACAGGCATGAGCCACTGTGCCTGGCAGGAAATGTACATTCTTAAAAAGAAACAATTATCATACTAACCTGTCCGAACTCCATGAGATGCTTAACTAATGTTATGTGTTGAATTGTGTCCCTCAAAATGATATGAAGTCCTACACCCTGGTATCTGTGAAATGTGGCCTTATTTGGAAACAGGGTCTTTGCAGAAGTAATTAAGATGAGGTTATATTGGATTAAGGTGGGCCCCAAATCCAAGTCCTTATAAAAAGTAAAGATTAGACTGGGCACAGTGGCTCACACCTATAATCCCAGCACTTTGGGAGGCTGAGGCAGGTGGATCACTTGAGCCCAGGAGTTCAAGACCAGCCTGGACAACATGACGAAATCCTGTCTCTACAAAAAAAAGAAAAATCAGCTGGGCATGGTGGTGCACACCTGCAGTCCCAGCTACTTAGGAGGTTGAGATGGGAAGATCACCTAAGCCTGGGAGGTTGAGGCTGCAGTGAGTTGTGATTGTGCCACCACACTCCAGCCTGGGTGACAGACAGAGTGAGGCCCTGTCTCAAAAGAAAAAAAAAAAAAGATATTATATGGATACACAAGAGAAGATGGTCATGTGAAGATGAAGGCAGAGATTGGAGTTATACAGCTACAAGCCAATGAATGCCAAGGATTACCAGCAACCACCAGAAGCTTGGAAGAAGCAACAAAGGATTCTTCCACAGAGCCTTCAAGAGAGCATGGACATGCTGACACCTTAATTGTGAATTTCATGCCTCCAAAACATTGAGAAAATAAATTTTTGTTGCTCCAAGTCATCCAGTTTATGATACTTTGATACAGCTCCTCAGGAAAAAAATAAAACTACTCACTCAAAAAAGTGGAGAAAAAACATAGATGTATCTATGTTGATGGTTGTGAATGGGAGATAAAAGGGAAGCATATGCAAACAACTCTTGAGAATTATAGCTGAGAAATGGGGATATAGGTAGGGAAGGGATGTGAAGATAAACAGTGGTTTTGATTAAGAGATCCTAGATGGCCGGGAATGGTGCCTCATGCCTATAACCCCACCACTTTGGGAGGCCGAGGTGGGGGAACTGGTGGAAGCCAGGAGTTTGAGGACAGCCTGGGCGACAAAGGGAGACTGTTACTACAAAAAAAAAAATTTTTTTTTTTTTTTTGAGATGGAGTCTCGCTCTGTCGCCCGGGCTAGAGTGCTGTGGCATAATCTCGGCTCACTGCAACCTCTGCCTCTTGGGTTCAAGCGATTCTCCTGCCTCAGCCTCCTAAGCAGCTGGGATTACAGGCACATGCCAACATGCCTGGCTAATTTTTCTGTTTTTAGTAGAGATAGGGTTTCACCATGTTGGTCAGGCTGGTCTTGAACTCCTGACCTCATGAGTTGCTCACCTCGGCCTCCCAAAGTGCTGGGATTACAGGTGTGAGCCATTGAGCCAGGCCTTTTTTTTAAAAAAAAAATTAGCTGGGCATGGTAGTGTACACCTGTGTTCCCAGCTACTCCAGAGGCTGAGGCAGGAGGATGGCTTGCACCCAAGAGTTCAAAAATGCAGTGAGCTATGATCACACCACTGCACTCCAGCCTGAGTGACAGAGTGAGACTCTGTCCAAAAAAAAAAAAAGAGAGAGAGAGATCCTAGGTGTTTTTTGGTTGACGAGAATGATCCAGTAGAGAAGGAATAGAGTGATGACACAGGATAGTAGTAACAACAAGAACAGCACATATTATGATTCCATTTATAGGAAATGTTGAGAACAGGGAAATCTAGAGACACAAAGTAGATTGACAATTGTTCAGGGCTGGCAGGAGGGGCATGAAAGGAAAAGGATAGTGACTGCTAATGAGTCATGTAGCTTCTTTTTGGGGTGGTAAAAATATTCTAAAATTTATTTTGGTGATAGTTGCACAATTCTGTGAATTACCTAGAAACCACTGAATTGTATATTTAAAAAAAAATAAAAAATTTTTTTTTTTGAGACAGTGGCGCAATCTCAGCTCACTGGATCCTCAACTTCCTGGGGTCAGGTGATCCCCCACCTATGCTTCTCAAGTAACTGGGACTACAGGTGTGCACCACCATGTCTGGCTCATTTTTTATAGAGAAGGGGTTTTGCCATTTTGCCTAGGCTGCTCTCAAACTCTTGGGCTCAAGTAATCTGCCTGCCTTAGTCTCCCAAAGTACTGGGATTACAGGTGTGAGCCACTGCACCCAACCACACTGTATACTTGAATTATACCTCAATAAAGCTGCTGTTTAAAAAAAAAAAAAAAAATGAAGCAGTGGCAGCATAAGCTCAAAGTCCTTGAAAAGGCAAGACAGGTGAGGACACATCATAAGTGATTTTGCCTTTGACAGGAAGGACCTTTCCTGTACTATAATAGGAGGAAGAATGGGAAGGTGGATGAATTTTATGTAAATTTGGTGGTTGAAAGATGAGAAACATGTTTGCCAAGACAGTACTCTGTACTCATCTAAAGTGTGTGACCATTAAATTAGGAGCAAAACCACTTGAACTCAGTTTTTTTCCAGCAACATTCAGTTATTTTGGGGTAGGCAGAGAAGCTAAGCTCAATCAGTATTGTGGTTTTCCTAGCACGTAGAACACAGGATGAGAGGCTGGGGGTAACTGCAATCAGGGCTGTAGCACTGCATAACACAGCCAAGCACATATCACAAATTTTACGTAAGTTGAAATTTATAGAAGATTTTATAGAAGATTATATTATTTACTCAAAGTTACATCTGTTTTAAAATGGTTGTCAGAATTTGTATACATCTCTGGCTAACTCCAGAGGTCATACACAGGTATCAATAGACATCCTTTGCTATTTGACTCTAGTTCATACAACATACACATTCAATAGTGATTTTTATATAGCAGAATCTTATAGTCCACAATCTTGAAAATGTGAAAAACGAGTTCTTAGCCCACCAAACCCCCAATTTATTTCCCTAAGTTGCACTAAAACATCCGAAAACCTATGAATCAATCCTCTAAGGAACTCAAATTAATCACGGCTATTAATCCATTATAGAAAGTATTTTTCTACCTTTCTAAAATATTATGCTATGATTAATAGTACAATTTTCAGAACCAAATAAATTCTCTTAATTTTTATTTTCTCATCCTACAGGAAAAAAAAAAATCTTTGGTAGATGGGACATGTACATGATTGACCTTGTATTGTTTTCACCTCTCAATATATTTTACCGTTTTCAACTGTTTTTTTTTTTTCTTGAGACAGGGTCTCACTTTATCACCCAGGCTGGAGTGCAGTGGCTTCATCACGACTCACTGCAGCTTTGACCTCCTGGGTTTAAGTGATCCTCCCGCCTCAGCCCTGCAAGTAGCTGGGACTACAGGCATGCGTCGCCATGCCTGGCTAATTTTTTGTAGAGATGGGGTTTTGCCATGTTGTCCAGGTTGGTCTTGAACTCCTGACCTCAAATGATCCACCCACCTTGGCCTCCCAAAGTGCTGGGATTATAGGCGTGAGCCACTGGGCTCGGCTGAATTTTCGGAATTTCCGAAAAAAAAAATAAATAAATAAATAAATAAATAAATTAAATAAAGTAAAGTAAAATAAAAAAATATATATATTTTGTAGAGATAGGGTCTCACTATATTGCCAGGGTTTATCTCAAACTCCTCAGCCTCCCAAAGTGCTGAGGTTATAGGCATAAACCACTGTACCTGGGTAACATATAATTTTTTAAAAAGTTCCTACCCATCACAGTATTTTATTTTATTTACTGATTTTTTGAGACAGGGTCTCACTCTGTCACCCAGGCTGTGCTGTGGCATGATCTCAGCTCACTGCAACCTCTGCCTCCTGGGTTCAAGTGATCCTCCAGCCTCAGCTTCCTGAGTAGCTGGGACTACAGGCGCCTACTACCACACCCGGATAATTTTTGTATTTTTAGTAGAGGCAGAGTTTCACCATATTGACAAGGCTGGTCTCAAAGTCCTGACCTCAGGTGATCCACCCACCTCTGTCTCCCAAAGTGCTGGGATTACAGGTGTGAGCCACCGTGCCTGGCCTCCTCACAGTATTTTATTAGCTACTTCTAAGCTACCATGGGAATATAAACTAGGGAGATAATGAATTAAATCCATAAACGAGATTTTCAACATCTACTTTTGGCTGATAATTTAAACAACTTTACTGTCTACATTCTGAAAACATCAGTACTCTGCATGCCAGTACTCAGGTGCCAATAAATGTTAAATAGACAAAACAGAAGAAGATATCTTCTAGTGAGGGTAAATAAACAACAGATTAAAAAGATTAATAATTAAAACTGAGCGCTTCCATTCTTTACTCTTCAAGCATTGTCCATGCACTTCTGATTGAGCTCACCCATTTGTTGAAAAAGGAGACAAAGCCATATCCCTTAGACTTTCCTGTTGCCATGTCTTTTACCACTCGGGCATCTCTGAAATCAGAAACAATCAGAAGTTTAGGTTTGCAAACTGTCCTCTGGATATCAAATGAGAATTTCACACACATCTCATTCTCATGTTTCGCCTTCATTAAAGTGAACCTTTAATGCAAATTCACCTTTTATTCTACAAAATTTATCATGTATTAGGAAATGAGGCTTACTTTTATAGACATGCAAATCAATAACTTAAGTATATATGTTTATTTATATTGTACAGAAATTGCCTCTCTCTTCAAAACACTTTTTAAACTTTTAAATATTAAGCATGGTGAAAGCAGCTACTCACATGAACTACTTAACCACTTATAAAGTTCATAGGACATTAGATGAATGGCTTTCTTTAACCATGCAATTTATAACTTATTTGACACTATATTCTACCTAATCATTAAAAAAAAAAAGAAAACTGGAAACCAAAAGAATGAAAAAGTTGTATATTCCCTAAACTAATTAAACTATTTCATTTTTTCAGATAAATTTATACCCCCCTTTTTGTCTAAATTTTGAGAACTTGACATTTTCAGAAATGTTAAATCATTGAAGAAAAATACTAGACACACACACGTTTTAAGCTAGACAAGAAAAGATTTTACACTGAATTTTAAAATAGCATTCATATAAAATTGATTGGAACTACAAGATATAAAAGCAAAATTTTAAAAAGTCAGAAAGTAAAAAAGCACGCCAACATTTATCCACTGTGAACCGTAGCTTGTAGTTAGCCAGGGCAATTCTGTCCATTCTTCAGAGACACTCTGCAAAATAACCAGAGCCCTATTATTTGAGATTGAGTAAAAACCCAGCCATGATAGCTAAAACTCCATACCTCAAAAAATTGGACTCAAATTGTGCTTCACAGGCAATCTGCTTTTAAGTTAGTCAGGTATGTCATAATGCTTGCTCTCTCAGGACACATGAACAAAACAGGCACTTTTATAACAAAAACCCAAGTCAGAAAGCCATGCAATGTAATTTTCTATTAAAGTATACATAAGCATATTTTAGATCAATCTGAGTGATTTATTAAGTGTTCAGGGTCAAAATGACAAAGACGTGGTGGTGAAAAGGGAAAACTAATGTAAGTCAATGCTCAATAAGTAAAAATACTTAATAAATTATCTGTATGGTACGCATGCATTTAATTTGGTAGCTGACTCTCTTCTACACTGTAATTTGTTAGTCTACCCTTAAACTCAAGGAACAGGAAGAGTTTATAGGCTGTATATAAGGGAAAGCACCATATTTTTTATACTAAATGCTTTTACAGACCACTGTTTATTACACATCTATAAATCAAGCACTGATATTTGCACTTTTTAGAGAATATCATGAGAACCCTTCAATATATAGTTATCAACTTATCTCCTTTAAAAACAAAAAATCAGGAAAATATGCTACTGACTGCCAAATGATTCCTTTAAATGTAGGAAAGCTAACTCCTTATATAGCCTAAAACTCAAACATTATACATTATCTCAATTGAAAATCATGAAACTTAAAGGTCTTACCAAGAAAAAAAAAAAGCATACACCAATAATCATGGGACCATAAGAAAATCTACAAACTAAAAATATGATACAGAAATATATTTAAGAGAAAAAATTATAACCCATGATTTGTAAATCATGAAATTGCTAAAATTTGAAGGTCACTTAAACTCACCAACTGTTAAACAAGCTTTGCCTAATTCCAAACTAAAATTCCCATGTTTTCAAAAAAACTACCTCAATCAAAATCAAAGCATTTAATAAAATAGCTACTTAATCTGTTCACAATGTCAGAAAATTTTTTCTTGTTAAAGTTTCAGAAAATGTTAACCTTGAAAAATATTCAACTCATATTTATTTCTCTCTGAAAAGATTCTCTAGAGAAGCAGCAACAAAGATCTAGATCAGGCTTCTTTATCCTTTTATGGTCCTGTGACTACTCTGACAATAGGATAAAATTTACAAAGATTTTCCACACCAAAATGAAAAAAGCAAATTTTGCATAGAGATTTAGAGCCCTTGAGAGGCCAAAGGCTAAGGCTAAGTCCAGATATTCAAAAGCAAACTAATTATTATTGAAACTCTAAGATATTATTAGGAGGGACAATCAAGAAATGAAAGCTGTACTTATTTTCCTCATCAGGTCTCACAAAGAAAAATTTCATCTGAAAGAAGTCCATTTACAAGCCCTAATTCTGTGACCACCTTTAAAGTTGGTAATCCCTTGGTCACATGCACTGTCATCCCCTAATCAACGAAGTGTAACACTTGAAATGAAAGTTCCCAAAATTAATCACCAATACTACTGGCATTTACTTTCCAGTCTCCTCATCTCATCTCTGCTGTTGGTCTATTCAAACCAAACCACAGCTAGCATTGCCTTTTTACTATTCTTCTAGGTGGAAAATAATAAAGCAACCGGAAATCCTGAAGAAGTTTTCTAAACTATTTACTCTAAAGTACTATAAACAACTTGTTATTCTTACTCTAATATGGCATGCTTTTCAAAATTTTAAAGTTCTTCTATGATGAATGCTATCTTAAGTAAGGTATTTATTCATAAGGGCCTAAAATGTATGATTAATAACAAGTACAGGCAAGGCAGTGCTTCATAAAATATTATTAAGGCACTATTATTGTTAGCAGTTTTTTTAAAAGAGTATAAATATCTAGGAAATAATATTCAACAACTGCTTTTTAAGTTGAATTGTTAAGGTTTCTTTTTGTTAAAATATACTAACACAAAATGCATGGTATCATAGAAGTGCCCAACACATCTAAATTCCTAGTTACAGCACAATTTTACTGAAGACTGTCACCAAGCTAGCTTGATACCTATATAATAAACTATAAAATGTACAATGGCAAATTTGTCTCTTAAGAGCTATGTTAATTGAAAAAGGATTTTAAGATAATTGAAAACCAAAGGTTTATTCATCAATGGGAAAACAATCTTTGGCTGTTAACTTCTTGAATGATCTCTAAACAATGTAATACATTATATTCAAGTGATAAAATTAATGTTTTATCACTTTTATCAAAATTCACAATTATTTTCAAGTTATGTCTACATATAATTGTTTCTAATTAAAAGGATTTTATTTATCTTCTGTTACTTACGATATTCTTCCAAATGGTGCAAAAGCAGCTTTTATATCTTCAGTTGTAATTTCTGGACTGAGATCACCAACAAAGACATGGAAATGATCTTATAAGGGGAAGGAAGGGGAAGTGAAAAGAAAAATAGAACTTTAGAATTTAAAAAGTACTAAAATCTATCCAATAAAGTATTCTTAAAATGATTATGACTTATGATAAAGTATAAATAAAACACTATCCTATATCTATACAAATCCTATCAATTTTAAACAATGAATCAAGGTAACAATATAGGAAAAATTCTGAAACGACTGTGATACATCTAACTGTAAAGTGACATTTATATTTCTATTTACAGTCAATTATTATACTGGTCTAAGAAAATAAACTAATAATATACAAGTTTCAGTTCTGCAAAAAAATTTAATGACTTAGTTACCATTCTAATAATAATTATTTACTTTTATTCAGTTTACCACTATATTAAGGCTTTACAAATTAAAACAAAATAGTGGTACTGTGAATTATGTAGACTAGATTTGCCTCAGTTAACACAATTTACTGAAGCTAGCTACATGATATATACTTGGTTTAACCATATTTTGTGAAGAACAATCAAAGAAATACCTTGCATTGCAACAGTTTGATGTTAAAGTATTTGACAGTTTTCTCAAAAGCCAACAGTTTTGGTTGCCCAGACATTACACCATTCAGTTTATGTGAATCCATGTGCAAGTGAACTAAGACTGAAGGCAACAGAATGAAAACAGTAATCCCTTCACTTTATATCAGAACCATTAAAAAAGCATTGGAGAGAAATAACCATCCCATATCTGAAGTTTTTAAAAAAGACAATTATCAAAAAAAGAAACACTTTAAAAATGCAAAATTGTTGGACCAACACTTTAAAATGGACACATACATCAATTTGACAAAGCATATTTGGAAAGAAAAATTACCCATATTTGACAGGCCTTAAACAACATTTTGGAATGCTCTTTGGGAAACAAAATTTGAGGAGCAACTCAAGCATTTGGAAGATCTGGGTATGAAGCCCAGATGGCGACCTCAAGAAAGGAGGGTATATTTTGCCCCTTAGTTGGTGAAAGTAGTTCTAAGGCATCAGCTGCCACCAAAGGGATCAGAAAGCTTGAACTAGCACCAAAGTAGCAGACAAGCTATACTTGGTCAACACCGAGAAAGGAGAAAAATATTGCTAGAGAGACAAATAGAAATAATATCTCCTCCCACCCCCCCTCCCCCAAATATCAAACAAAAAAACCTCAGATGGTTAGTGAATACCCTTTCAAGAGATTTCATTTTATGTTTAAGAAGATACAATTACCTTGTGAACGCTGTGTGCTGACAACGGTACTACCTGATGACAAAGATTAGATTTGTTCTTAAATTTATTAACACAAACACATTCAATCATATCTTAGGATAACGATCAAAACATTACTGCAAACATGTATGATGTTTATAGGCTTTACAATAAAACTACTGGGTATAATAAAAACAAATGCTCACAGAGCATAAAATATACTTACTGCTTGTATCTTTCTTTTGACTGCTGGGGGTTGTTGCCCAATTCACTTTGACTTCCTAAAAAAAAATTTCTACATTTATACTTCACAAAAATAAAACCCAAAATCACATTTACATCTATAAAAAGATAGGAAGATATCTGTTTAAGATGAAACACTGAAGGAGATACCAGCTCTGGTCAAGTTTCAATACTTAATCTTCTGACCTATATTTAGGGAAATAATGTTGACAAATCCTAATCTTTATATGTCTGTTAACATTCAATTAACCTTTCTTACCTAAAGTACACACATTTTTTTCCCTTTCATTCTTTTCCATTAGCATCCAAGCTTGAGTTATTCAGCAAATATTTTGATATTTACCATGTACAAGCCACCATGGAAAATACTAATGTAGGCTGCTGGCTCATGCCCGTAATCTCAGCACTTTGGGAGGCCAAGACAGGTGGATCACCTGAGGTAAGGAGTTCAAGACCAACCTGGTCATCATAGTGAAACTCTGTCTCTACAAAAATGCAAAAATTAGCTGGGCGTGATGGTGGGTGCCTGTAATCCCAGCTATCCAGGAGGAGGCTAAAGCAGAAGAACTGCTTGAACCCAGGAGGCGGAGGTTGCAGTGAGCCAAGATTGTGCCACTGCACTCCAGCCTGGGTGACAGAGCAAGATTCTATCTCAAAAAAAAGCCAGGCACAGTAGCTTACGCCACCGTGAGGCCGAGACAGGCAGATCATGCGGTCAGGCGATTAAGACCATCTTGGCCAACAAGATGAAATCCCGTCTCTACTAAAAATACAAAAAATTAGCCGGGCGTGGTGGCAGGTGCCTGTAGTCCCAGCTATTCGGGAGGCCAAAGCAGAATGGCGTGAACCCAGGAGGCAGAGCTTGCAGTGAGCCGAAATGGTGCCACTGCACTCCAGCCTGGGCAACAGAGTGAGACTCTGCCTCAAAAAAAAAAAAAAAAAAGAAAATACTAACATAAACACAGTCCTCTGGCCTCTAAAAGCTTTATCTCACCTTTTTAATATTATATGTGAATAACTGACCTTTTGCTATAAAGTGTTTAATGTTTCAGCCAGGCGCGGTGGCTCACACCTGTAATCCCAATACTTTGGGAGGCCAAAGCAGGCAGATCACCTGAGGTGAGCAGTTTGAGACCAGTCTGGCTAACATGGTGAAACCCCGCTTCTACTAAAAATACAAAAAATTAGCCAGGTGTGTTGGTGCGCGCCTGTAATCTCAACTACTAGGGAGGCTGAGGCAGGAGAATCACTTGAACCTGGGAGGCAGAGGTTGCAGTGAGCTGAGATTGTGCCACTGCACTCCAGATTGGGCAACAAGGGCAAACTTCCGTTTCAAAAAAAAAAAAAAAAAAGGTGTTTAATGTTTCCAAAAAGTAAACAAAATCATATGTAACTTAAATTTTGTCAGTGCAAGTCACCTTCTTTAATTACGACAGCTTACCTTACCCATTATCTTCCGTCCATTCATAGCAGCTAATGCTGCAGCTGCATGACGATGCTCATGAAACTCCACAAAACAATAGGGATCATTTCCAGCTGTCTGTGGGAGAGGAAACACAAAAGCCAATTTTAAGTTTTCTTCACCCATTACCTTAAAATTATGTAAAAAAAAAAAAAAAACTCTTAAACCAAGTTTTATACATCTAAGTTATCAGGCCATGGAGAATGAATGGTCCATTCCGCAAGTACATTTTAGATTTTAAAAAGTAGGCCAGGTGAGGTGGCTCACGCCTATAATCCTAGCACTTTGGGAGGCCAAGGCAGGCAGATCATGAGGTCAGCAGTTTGAGACCACCCTGGCCAACATGGTGAAACCCCATCTCTATCAAAAATAAAATACAAAAATTAGCCAGGCGTGGTGGCAGGCTTCTGTAATCCCACCTACTTGGGAGGCTGAGGCAGGAGAATTGCTTGAACCCAGGAGGTGGAGGTTGCAGTGAGCGGAGACCACGCCATTGCACTCCAGCCTGGGCAACAGAGCAAGACTCCATCTCAAAAAAACAAAACAAAACAAAACAAAACAAACAGTAAACAGCTAGGCCTTGTGGAGAGCTCCTGTAGTCACAGCTACTTTAGGAGGCTGAGGTGGGAGGAATGCTTGAGCCCAGGAGTTTGAATCCAGCCTGGGCAACACAGCAAGATCCTGTCTCTAAAATAATTAAAAAGTAAAAAAAAAAAAAAGCAAACACTTAAAATCACACTGCTTTTATATGTAGCTATTTTCTTCAACAGGTTATACTATAGTACTATAATTTAGTATTAATGACTAGGTATCCTAACTGGATATATAGCTATAAATACCCCGTCATCATAAAACCATTTGTTCAAGCTACACAGATTAAGTTTGACTGAACTCCTATTCTGAAGTCTCACTTCGGCTTTTTATGATTTTCTATCGCCTCCCTGTTACATGTTACTTTTTACTGCTACAAATGTACATAGCTCCTTGCTGCTACTAGCTTGCTGAGTAGCAGAAAATCTTAGCCAACCTTCTTAAACCTGTTTTTAAAATACAGGTAAATAGGCTCTGAAAACTGAAGAGATTCTCTGGTAAGTAAAATTTTAGAATAGGTTTTAGAACGTGAACTTTCTGACATCAATTTTTTCCTTGTTCAGAAGTCTTTAAAAAATTATCTTCTTGGCCAGGCGTGATGGCTGACACCTGTAATCCCAGCACTTTGGGAGGCCAAGGTGGGTGGATCACCTGAGGTCCAGGAGTTCAAGACCAGCGTGACCAACATGGAGAAACCCTGTCTCTACTAAAAATACAAAATTAGCCGGGCGTGGTGGTGCATGCCTGTAATCCCAGCTACTCGGGAGGCTGAGGCAGGAGAATCGCTTGAACCCAGGAGGTGGAGGCTGCAGTGAGCCAAGATGGTGCCACTGCACTCTAGCCTGGGCAACAAGAGTGAAACTCCGTCTAAAAAAAAAAAAAAACTTCCCTTTGTCAGGCACAGTAGCTCATGCCTGTAATCTCAGCACTTTGGGAGGATGAGGCAGGCGGATCACCTGAGGTCAAGAGTTCAAGACCAGCCTGGCCAAAATGGTGAAACCTCATCTCTACTAAAAATACAAAAATTAGCTGGGTGTGGTGGCGTGCACTTGTAATTCCAGCTACTCAGGAGGCTAAGGCAGGAGATTCACTTGAACCCAGGAGGTGGACGTTGCAGTGAGCCGAGATTGTGCCACTGGATTCCAGTCTGGGCACACAGCGAGATTTCATCTCAAAGGGAAAGAAAAAAAGTATCTTCCCTTTTCTGCTGGTGTTCCAGGTAGGTGAGGCTATGTGATAAGTAGAACCTGGATGTTTAATTATAAATTAAAGTGGCAGAAAAAAATTCCAATTTTTAAATCTATAGTGCAAAATACCAAATGACATTATAGGCCATTTTAAAATTCTTTCCATAACCTCCTAAACAGATTTGTTAAAATAAAAAACTAATTCAAAAGACTAGAAAGCTACCAAAATAGAGGAATATACAATTTTATTTCAAGTACAATTAATACTTTTCACTTAATTTTTTTTTTAGAGATGTGGTCTCAGGTGTGAGCCACTGCACCCGGCTAAATAATTACTTTTAAAAATACCAAGTAAAAAAAAGTTTAGCTGGAATACAACAGGAAAGAAGGTAACAGATACACATATACATTGTCTTTTCTGGAGAAAAGAAAACTGAAAGTTTATAGCAGGCTGGGTGCAGTGGCTATTACCAAGACCCTGTCTTTCAAGACAAACAAACAAACAAACAAAAAACCCAAAAGTTTACAGAAAGGAGAGACCATGGGACAAAAGGATTTCTCTTTAACATTGCCTTTCCCATTAAAAAATTTAGGCCGGGTGCGGTGGCTCATGCCTGTAATCCCAGCACTTTGGGAGGCCAAGACAGGTGGATCACCTGAAGTCGGGAGTTTGAGACCAGCCTGACCAACATGGAGAAACCCCATCTCTACTAAAAATACAAAATTAGCCAGGTGTGGCTGGGCACATGCCTGTAATCCGAGCTACTTGGGAGGCTGAGACAGAAGAAGTTGCTTGAACCTGGGAGGTGGAGGTTGTAGTGAGCCAGAGATCATGCCAATTGCACTCCAGGCCTGGGCACCAAGAGCAAAACTCCGGTCTCAAAAAAAAAAAAAAAAAAAAAAAAAAAAGTATTTTTCCTCCCCGGGAGCGAGACAAAGACTCCAGGGAAATAGGGTAACTGTTCCCTAAATGTCTTTTTATACATATTATGAATCAGGGTTAACACCAATTGGATGAATGAGTTCAATGTGTGTGTTTTTTTAATACATTAAGGTCTCATAAATAAGAATTGCCTAAATACAAGAAAAACTTGAATCATGACCTTTAAAAATAAAGTTAAAGGCTGGGCGCGGTGGCTCAAGCCTGTAATCCCAGCACTTTGGGAGGCCGAGACGGGCGGATCACGAGGTCAGGAGATCGAGACCATCCTGGCTAACACGGTGAAACCCCGTCTCTATTAAAAAATACAAAAAACTAGCCGGGCGAAGTGGCGGGCGCCTGTAGTCCCAGCTACTCGGGAGGCTGAGGCAGGAGAATGGCGGGAACCCGGGAGGCAGAGCTTGCAGTGAGCTGAGATCCGGCCACTGCACTCCAGCCTGGGCGACAGAGTCAGACTCAGTCTCAAAAAAAAAAAAAAAAAAAAGTTAAAAATACTTTCACTGTATCAAATGCCTATTATTTTTAAACCTGTTTCCCAATTTAATTGTAAGAGCTGAATTTATTGCCAACCAATTGACACCACATATAAATATTTCTGATGCCTCAATGCACCTGAAAGAGCCCACATTTTTACAGTTCCCATCTGATCTACAAATAACTAGTTCTATTCTCATCTTCCATTATTTAGTAAAACAAATTAAATTCAGCTGTCAAAACAAGTTCATTACAAATTCACTAAAATCCAAATCCCTATTAATTTAGAATATAGTAAACTAAGACTATATTTAGACTACAGTAAACTAAGAATTTATACTATATTTAGACTATGGTAAATTAAGAATTCCTTCCAAGCAATTGCTTTAAGTAACATCTTAAAAAAAAAAAAAAAAAAAAGAATAAAGTTAACTAAGTAAAATACCCTTACATCCATAATCATTTTGCAGTTTTTACAAGGTCCAATCTGGCTAAAGAGTTGCAGAATTAGAGCTTCTGTCACATCTCTGGAAAGGTTACCGACGTATCTGAAACACAAAGAAAAACAATTGACCTTTTTTTTTTTTGAGATGGAGTTTCGCTCTTGTTGCCCAGGACAGAGTGCAGCGGCGCGATCTCGGCTCACCGCAACCTCCACCTCCAGGGTTCAAGTGATTCTCCTGCCTCAGCCTCCCCAAGTAGCTGGGATTACAGGCATGCGCGACCACACTCAGCTAATTTTATATTTTTAGTAGAGACAGGGTTTCTCCATGTTGGTCAGGCTGGTCTCCAACTCCTGACCTCAGGTGATCCACCCACTTCAGCCTCCCAAAGTGCTGGGATTACAGGTGTGAGCCACTGCGCTTGGCCTTTTTTTTTTTTTTTTTTTTTTTTAAGAGAAATGGTCTGGCTATATTGCTCAGGCTGCTCTCAAACTCCTGGCCTCAAGCAAACCTCCTGCCTCGGCCTCCTGAGTAATGGACTACAGGAACCACCACATCCAGCACAATTTACCTCAATTTATCTATTTTTTTTGAGACAAGGTCTTGCTGGGTTGCCCAGACTGGAGTGTAGTGGAGCAATCTCGGCTCACTACAACTTCCACCTCCTGGGCTCAAGGGATTCTCCCACCTCAGCTACCCAAGTAGCTGGGACCACAGGCGTGTGCCATCATATCTGGCTAATTTTTTTACATTTTCTGTAAAGAAGGGGTTTCACCATGTTGCTGAGCTGGTCTCAAACTCCTGGGTTCGAGTGATCTGCCTGCCTCGGCCTCCCAAAGTGTAACCTTAAAGATTACAGGCATAAGGCATTGTACCCAGCCCTCGATTTACCATTTTAAATTTGCTTATTCTCCACCAGTTTCTAAAGCTGTTTATTAAAAATTAAACTTGAGAAATAGGCAGATCTTTGCCTTATACTATAATATTTGGGAGTGACTTTTAAAAGTTTGCCAACACTTAAAAATTTCTTTGAGGCCGGGCGCAGTGGCTCAAGCCTGTAATCCCAGCACTTTGGGAGGCCGAGACGGGCGGATCACGAGGTCAGGAGATCGAGACCACCCTGGGCTAAACACGCGTGAAACCCCGTCTCCACTGAAACCCCGTCTTCTACCTAAAACACGAAAAAAAAAAATTTAGCGGGCATTGGTGGCGGGAGCCTTGAGTCCCAGGCCTACTTGGGAAGGCTGAGGCAGGAGAATGGCGTGAACCGGGAGGCAGAGCTTGCCGAGGTAAGCTGAGATCCGGCCACTGCACTCCAGCGCTGGGTGACAGAGCGAGACTCCGTCTCAAAAAAAAACAAAAAAAAACAAAAAAAACCTCTTTGAAAACAGAGGTTAAGTATGTTATTTGAAATATATTAGCTGGTGTGGTGGTGGCTCATGCCTGTAATCCCAGCACTTTCGGGAAGGCCAAGGTGGGAGAATCACCTGAGGCCAGAATTGAGACCGCCTGGTAAATATGATGAAACCCTGTCTTCTATGAAAAACACAAAATTAGCCAGGCGTGGTGGTGCACGTCTGTAAACCCCAGCTACTTGGGAGGCTGAGGGAGGAGAATCACTTGAACCCAGGAGTGGAGGCTGGTGAGTGGAGGTTGCACCACTGTACACCAGCCTGGGCAACAGAGTGAGACTATGTTTCAAAAAAAAAAGAAAAGAAATATGTTACACCTTGCTAGTGAAGGGGAAGCTAGTATGTGCATGTCTGTTTTAGTCATGGTTTTGCAAATTAAACCTATTGCTTGTTTCTAAGTTTCCAGGCTTACCTTAGGAAGATAAACTTTAAAAACACTCAAATGAATCATCATTAGTTATATAAAATATCTTATACAATAATGGCTGGGCGCAGTGGCTCACGCCTGTAATCCCAGCACTTTGGGAGGCTGACGCAGGTGGATCACTTGAGGTCAGGAGTTTGAGACCAGCCTGGCCAACATGGTGAAACCCCTTCTCTACTAAAAACACAAAAATTAGCTAGGCATGGTGGTGCCCGCCTGTAATCCCAGCTACTTGGGGGTGGCTGAGGCGTGAGAATTGCTGGAACCCAGGAGGGGGAGGTTGCAACAAGCCTGGATCATGCCACTGCACTCCAGCCTGGGTTACGAAGCAAGACTGTCTTAAAAAAGAAAAAAGAAGGCTGGCTACGGTGGCTCACGCCTGTAATCCCAGCACTGTGGGAGGCTGAGGCGGGCAGATCACGAGGTCAGGAGATTGAGACCATCCTGGCTAACACAGTGAAACCCCATCTCTGTAAAAATACAAAAAATTAGCCGGGAGTGGTGGTGGGCGCCTGTAGTCCCACCTATTTGGGAGGCTGAGGCAGGAGAGTGGTGTGAACCCAGGAGGCAGAGCTTGCAGTGAGCCAAGATGGTGCCACTGCCCTCCAGCCTGGGCAACAGAGCGAGATATCGTCTCAAAAAAAAAAAAGAAAAAAAAATGTATACAATCAAACCTAAGAAGCACTGCAATTATTTCTACTTCTATGGTATTAATATTACTAAGAACACCAACGTTCTCCCATTTTTTTTTTTTTTGAACAAAGTCTCGCTCTGTTGCCCAGGCTGGAGGGCAGTGGCGTGATCTCTGATCACTGCAACCTCCGCCTCCCAGGTTCAAGTGATTCTCCTGCCTCAGCCACCCAAGTAGCTGGGACTACAGGCACCTGCCACCACGCCCAGCTAATTTTTTTATATTTTTGGTAGAGACGGGGTTTCACCATATTGGTCAGGCTAGGCTGGCACCCCCAATTTTTAAATTAACATTATTTCCCTTATTTGTTCAATTTAGGTAGACTTTGGTTATGCAATGAACACATTTTTAAGAAGTTATAGGTAAATTATCAGTTGTTTTGAATGCTCACAGTGGGATGAGAAACCTTCCATTTAACATTACTGATCAGTAGAAGAGGGGTGAAAGGGAGTAGAAAGATCACAGATTATGAGTTGGTAATCAATAAAAATATAAATAGTGTATTACAAGGCCGAAGACTGTGATGATCTTCATTTAAAGGGCTTAGGCTAGGGGTAGTGGCTCACGCCTGTAATCCCAGCACTTTTGGAGGCTAAGGTGGGAAGATCACTTTAGTCCAGGAGTTCAAGATCAGCCCAGTCAATACAGTGACACCCCCATCTCTACAAAAAATAAAAATAACGATAAAAAATTAGCCAGACATGGTGGCACTATGTCCCATGGCATGGTCCCAGCTACTTCAGACACTGAGGTGGGAAGATCACTTGAACCCAGGAGTTAAGAGGCTGCAATGAGCTATGATTATGCCACTGCACCAGGTGACAGAGCAAGACTCTATCTCTAAAAATAAAATAAAGGGTTTTTTTTTTTTTGAGATGGAGTCTCGCTCTGTCACCCACGCTGGAGTGCGGTGGCACGATCTCAGCTCACTGCAAGCTCCGCCTTGTAGGTTCACACCATTCTCCTGCCTCAGCCTCCTGAGTAGCTGGGACTATAGGCACCCGCCACCATGCCCGGCTAATTTTTTGTATTTTTAGTAGAGATGGGGTTTCACCATGTTAGCCAGTAAGGTCTTGATCTCCTGACCTCGTGATCCGCCTGCCTCGGCCTCCCAAAGTGTTGACATTACAGGCGTGAGCCACCGTGCCCGGCCAATAAAGGGTTTATAAATAAGTTTTTAAAATGAGATTTTGAGATGAGTTTACCTCTAGTCATGTTACAGAGTTAGAGGTTTACCAGTTCTGGAATCAGAGAATGCACTCTCCCCAAAACGTTAGTTTCTCATTTGTCTCTCAGGTACCCTTCAGAAAATTTGATACAAGGTACGGACTTTCTCCTCAGAAAAATAAATATTCATACATGCTCAAAAAGTGCGGATTCAGTTTCTTCTTTCCATCTACCATTCAACAAACACATATTGAGTACTTAACATGAAGCCTTTGGAAAAGGTTAAGATGGCAAAGGAAGAAATGCTGAGTCAATAACAAATGACATTTAAAGATCAGGTAAAATAATGGTACTCAAAAGAGAAAGTAACAGCAACATTTACCCAACAGCAATTTACCAGTATTGGGAATTATTACTGCACCAAGTCTCTATTCTGAAAAAGAGACAGAATTAAGCATTTATCCTATTAAGTAGGAACTCCTAAATAGTGTAATCTAATAGCTCTAGTTTAGAAAAGTTCTCCTCTACAAAAGAATGCCGGTTAATAAATGTAGAAAGATAGTATTAAATTAATGTGTAAACCCTAGTGAAACAACTGATTCAGGGAAGGATCTTTAATCTATGCTTAAATTACTACGTGAATGGTTGGTGTGGAAATAGTCACAAGGTGTCAGAGTTATCACATAGATTACTTAATTCATTGCAAAGGGAAAACCTTACCTCAAAAATGAGAGCTTTGGCTGTTACCACTATAACCCAGTGATAAAATTTTCAATTATTTTATAGATGGGCAACAACCAATGAGACACTGCATATGTATAATACGAATTACACAGTATCACCTATAAAATATTTACATAAAAAAGTCTAACCTAAATCTAACCAAGCTGAAAATTAGATTTAAGTTTATAGGATATCGGGCATATAAAACAATTCCACAAATCCAGATGTGGGACATTTTATAAGACAACTCAGTCTCTTCAAAAAATTATTGTCCTAAAACAAACACAACAGATGACTGTTCTTGAATAAAAGGGAGCGGTGGCACAAGCCCACAGTCCCAGCTACTTGAGAGGCTGAGGTGGGTGGATCCCTTGAACCCAGAAGTTTGAATCCAGCCTGAGCAACATAGCAAGACCTCATTTCTAAGATACAAATAAGTAAAAGAAACAGAAAGTTGGGCACAGTGGTTCAAGCCTGAAATCCTAGCACTTTGGGAGGCTGAGATAGGCGGTTCACTTGAGACCAGGAGTTAGAGACCAGCCTGGCCAACATGGTGAAACCTCATCTCTACTAAAAATACAAAAATTAGCCAGGCATGGTGGTGCACGCCTGTAATCGCAGCTCCCTGGGAGCAGGAGACACAAGAATCACTTGAACTCAGGAGGTGGACATTGCAGTGAGCTGAGAT